CCTTCCAAGTTGCCCAGTCTTCTGTGTGCCCAGGAGGGAGTCTTGCATTTGGTATCAGCCATGGCTTGAGGTTCCAGGTTTTAGCCTGCCACTTTTGGACTCTTGCTTGCTGAGGTGTTCCAGCGAGTATCTCTGCAGATCTTAGAAAATTATTTCTTGATTTAAGGCATTGGCGCGCAGGCTGATATCTGAACAGGAGATGGGTCAGAGATGTCACTGAGATAACACACATGCCATCAATACAACTACATAGCTAATCAAGAGAGAAGTCAAAGATTCCCAGTTATAGCAAAGGTTATTCAAATCCTATTGAATTCACTTGAGACTTGTTTCTGGACAAGAATATAGGTGAGAGTTGAATTCTCAGGTAAGAGTGCGCATAGGTTTGCAATCTTAATCAGCTTAAACAAAATTGACTGACATAATCAAACAAGTATAGTAGGATAAAATATAATTATCTTGTATAATCCCAAAGCAGGAAAGAAGATATTCATATACTGATAAACCAGCAATTATAATAGCTTATTGTGTTAATAATGGTCACTTAGTATATTAATGGCAATTAGTTTGTACTCTACTAAGCAAACATAATATGAAGCATGCCAAGAACAATAATGTTGGGTATCAACTTTCCAGCTTACATCACAACTGCTCTAACCTGAAATCTTAGTGAAAGCAACCAATCTTCATCCAAAACATCTACACCTACACACCATCCTGATTCAGTAAAAAAAATGGAGCAAAATTATCAAATGTAAACATTAAGACACCCTTTAGGCTTAATCTGTGCTCCCAAATCTGGTCGAGCAAGAAAAGGTTTGCACTTCTTTATGGGGGGGAAAGAGGAGTGTGAAAAAGTCGCTTTTCCTCTGTATATCAATTAAATATGCAGGTTCCAGGCAATCTATCAGTGTGACAAGAGCAGAGTGAAAACTGTAATCTTGGTCCCTAGCTGGAAGCCTCAATGTAATAAAGAGATTTTCTTTGTGGAAAAATTTAATTAATCTACCAGCAAGCATGCGGAGAACATTTAAAGCCCCATCACTTCCTGGAAGTTTAATTAATGTTCTTCTGAAACATAATAGTCCAATGATGAACATGCCATCTGAATTCACACGCTAAAACTAATATAAGGACCAGTGGTTTCTGTCATTTGCACTGATAATAGGACAAGTTTCATTTATGTTTGAAACTCCTAGGGATGTAAAAAACGACTTGGATGTTTTTTGTCCTTTATGAAAAGGGGGTCCTTCATGTTCTGAGATGCAGCTAACAAAGAAGATTCCTCTTACACAGTCTTTGAACTCCCCCTCATTTCTTTCTTATTCATCTAGCAGCATCAACATGGAGGGGATGGGAAAGGAGAGCTTGAGAAGCACAAGATTGCCAGTGTCAAGCTCTAGCAGCCTGTCTGCAATAAATGCAATAAGACTTCAGTCAAGAAAGATCTCTTTGTCTACTTGATACTCTAGTTGCTGAAGAGTAATTTAGAACTGAAACAGATTTTATTGAGTGTTGTGTATGCCAGCACTTGTGTTCCATTTTTCCGAATGAAGCAGAGAGTGTTTGAGGACCGGGACATCCATAGGGATACCAAGGTGCTTGTTTATAAAGGTATTGTCCTCCCAACCCTGCTATGTGCCTGCAAAACATGGACTGTCTACAGACGTCACATGCAACTCCTAGAACGAATCCATCAGCGCTGCCTCCGGAAAATCCTGCAAATCTCTTGGGAAGACAAGCGGACAAATGTCAGCATGCTGAAAGAAGCAAAGACCACCAGCGTTGAAGTGATGGTCCTCCGCCATCAACTCCGCTGGACCGGCCACATTGTCCAGATGCCTGACCACCGTTTCCCAAAGTAGTTGCTCTACTCCGAACTCAAGAATGGAAAGCGGAATGTTGGCGGGCAGGAAAAGAGATTTAAAGATGGGCTCAAAGCCAACCTCAAAAACTCTGGCATAGACACTGAGAACTGGGAAGCCCTGGCCTGTGAGTGCTCCAGCTGGAGGTCAGCTGTGATCAGTAGTGCTGCAGAATTTGAAGAGGCACAAATGGAGGGCGAAAGAGAGAAATGTGCTAAGAGTAAGGCGCGTCAAGCCAACCCCGAGTGGGACCGCCTTCCACCTGGAAACCAATGTCCTCACTGCAGAAGACGATGCAGATCAAGAATAGGGCTCCATAGTCACCTACGGCCTCACCCTGGGGGATTATCCTACTCAGACAATGAGGGAACACCTAAGTAAGTTGTGTTCCATAAAACCAATGGTTCGCAACCCTCCTAATGCTGTGACCCCATCATCAAAGGCAGTGGTTCTCCAACCTTCCTAATGCCGCAACCCTTTAATACAGTTCTTCATGTTGTGGTGACCCCCAACCATAACATTATTTTCATTGCTACTTCATAACTGTAATTTTGCTACTGTTATGAATTGTAATGTAAATATCTGATATGAAGGAAGTATTTTCATTAATTGGACCAAATTTGGCACAAATACCCTATATGCCCAAATTTGGATATTGGTGGGGTTCAGGGGGTTGATTTTGTCATTTGGGAGGTGTAGTCACTGTCATTTATAGTTAACTTACAATCAAAGAGTGTTCTGAACTCCACCAATGATGGAATTGAACCAAACTTGGCACACAGAACTCCCATGACCAACAGAAAATACTAGAAGGGTTTGGTGGGCACTGACCTTGAGTTTTGGAGTTGTAGTTCACCTACATCCAGTGAGCACTGATGAATCTGGACCAAACTTGCAATGAATACTCAATATGTCCAAATGTGAACACTGGTGGAGTTTGGGGAAAATAGTAGGCCTGTGCAATTTAGTTCGTTATTTCGTTATTTCGTTATTAATTCGTTATTTTTGCATTTTTGAAGCAATATCAAAACACATTTTCAAACCCGGAAGGGTTTAAAAATATCGAACCGGCAGCCCCCATAAATTTAACGAGCTTCCGCTCGTTTCGTTAATGGGATGGAGGCTGCTGGAGTGCTGGTGCCATTCCCCTCTTTCTCGGCCTGGGCTGCTCTCCCCGCCCTCTTTCCCCTCTCCCCGTTTTCCAACACTCCTCCTCCTCCACATGCGGCTGCATAGTGAGTGAAGTACTGTATTATAATAGCGCTGCATCAGGGGCGGCTGAAGCAACTTACGTGCCAAATCCCTGGCTGTGGGCTGCTTGGCTTGCTTGCTCGCTTCTCCAAGCGGGCGAAAGGAGAGGGAGAGAGAAAAACAGTGTGCTGCTGCCTGTCTCTTTAAGGAAGGAGCACATGGAGCCCTCGGCTGCCGGTTTGGCGGAGGGAGGGAGGCAGGCGCGCGCTTGGTTGCTAGAGCGCGCGCCTGCCTCCCTCCCTCCGCCAAACCGGCAGCCGAGGGCTCCATGTGCTCCTTCCTTAAAGAGACAGGCAGCAGCACACTGTTTTTCTCTCTCCCTCTCCTTTCGCCCGCTTGGAGAAGCGAGCAAGCAAGACAAGCAGCCCACAGCCAGGGATTTGGCACGTAAGTTGCTTCAGCCGCCCCTGATGCAGCGCTATTATACAGTACTTCACTCACTATGCAGCCGCATGTGGAGGAGGAGGAGTGTTGGAAAACGGGGAGAGGGGAAAGAGGGCGGGGAGAGCAGCCCAGGCCGAGAAAGAGGGGAATGGCACCAGCACTCCAGCAGCCTCCATCCCATTAACGAAACGAGCGGAAGCTCGTTAAATTTATGGGGGCTGCCGGTTCGATATTTTTAAACCCTTCCGGGTTTGAAAATGTGTTTTGATATTGCTTCAAAAATGCAAAAATAACGAATTAATAACGAAATAACGAAATAACGAACTAAATTGCACAGGCCTAATAGTTACACCTTCCTTGGGTAATGTAAAGCATCTCAAACAGGACTTGAACAGACACATTCTATTAATTTGATGTCATTTCTGAAATCAATGAACTATAATCACCTCAGTGGTATACGGGGATCTTGAAATAACCTCTGGGGCCATCCAATAAGGTGTTCCTACTAATGACTTCCTTTTTGGCACATCTTTACTGATTTGAGCACAAAAGCCAAAATCAGAGAGTTTCACCTATTCAAAAGAGAAAAACAATAATCATTGCACATCCAGAGCAAAGGAGGAGGAATAGGACAAAGGGGTATATAGTGGGGAACAAAGAATTAATGTCACCTTTCCCTACATCAAAACCCCAGCCTGGATCACCACCCCCACCACCTTATGAAACAATTTATTTTTTAATAAAAAATATTCAAAATTACTAATTACACGGATTTCCAGAAAGAATTTGAAATCCTAGTTATAACTTTTAATGTCCTTGGTGGCTCAGGTGATCCAGACTATTTGAAAGATCATATATCCATCAGGCATGTAGCCGGGGGGGGGGGGGGGGGNTGGGATTTATAGTTCACCTACAATCAAAGAGCATTCTGAACTCCACCATCGATGGAATTGAACCAAACTTGGTACACAGAACTCCCATGGCCAGCAGAAAACACTTGAAGGGTTCGGTGGGCATTGACCTTGAGTTTTGGAGTTTTGGTTCACCTACATCCAGACAGCAATGAACTCAAACAATGATGGATATGGGACAAACTTGGCATGAATACTCAATATTTCCAAATGTGAACACTAGTGAAGTTTGGGGAAAACAGACCTTGACATTTGGGAGTTGTAGTTGCTGGGATTTATAATTCACCTACAATCAAAGAGCATTCTGAACTCCGCCAATGATAGAATTGGGCCAAACCCTCACACAGAACCCCCATGACCAACAGAAAATACTGTGTTTTCTGATGGTCTTTGGCGACCCCTCTGACACCTCCCTCACAACCCCCCTCCCATGGGTCCAGATCCCCAGATTGAGAAATGTTGCATAAAACAGTATGTTTTAAATGTAATGCAAACACTTCATTCAAGGACTTGAGATAATTCTGCAGTCTTTTAGGAGTTTAAACAAATAGCCAAATAAATGAGAAATAAATAGCCAAATAATGCTTACCTTGATTGCTTCCAAATCTTCTTGGTGATATCAGAAGAAGCTATGCTTCGGGTCTCCTTCTGCCTTTGCTTCATTTAGTGAAAGAAGTGGATTCTCCATCAAGAGTGAACCATCTTTTCTTGATGACAAGACCTTGTCCTGAAAAAAAAAAGATTTAGGTTTTAAGAATAGGGAGTTACAATGAGAGGATAAGAAGGACAGCAACAAATGCAGATTGGTGGCCCAAGTCACTAGTAACTGAATGCAAGACTTCAGAAGCCTTCTATTTACCTCTCTGGCCTAAGAGAACTGGTGGATCAGTTGAAGACAAAAGTATTCCTGCTGCTTTAAAGTACAACTTCAACCCAACAATTTAGTCAGATGAGAAACCTACAGTGAAAGAGGCTTCTTCTGGAGAAACAGGTACCATGGAAAACTAAGCAGGCAGGTTGATCCATTCCACCATGAGAAATGTGTCAAATGCTCATGAAGTTTTGTAGGCCACAGACAAACACGCATGGAGCTTGTAGATCAGGAAGTCCACATAAGAGTCAGGTTTGTCCCCTTTAGCAATCACAAGGAAGAGATTAGAAGTATTTACTTTTAGTGGAAACTGCATTTCCCGATCCTGTTCAAGCACATGTGTCAAATTCAAGCGGGCCAAATACAGTCCATTATGTCATTCCATGTGATCCTTCAGATCCTGGACTACAACTCCTGTATTTTAATCATTAGACATCATGACTAGAGCTGATGGGATTTTGGATACAGCTAACATCTCAAATGCTGAATGAAGTTGGTTCTGTTTAGTCAGGATAATGGAGTTTGAATTTAGGTACAAAGTTTGTGGATATGATGCCTGACTTTAAAATGTCCTTTAACCTTTCCCCAAACTCGGAGCCACAAGTGTTTCTGGGCTGCAATTCCCATCATCCCCAGTCCACATGGGAGATAATCAAAAGTGATGGATAAAAACTAAAGAGCACTGATGACTATGGAAAAAAATTATAGTTGGTCCTCTATATCAACAAATTCTCCATACATGGATTTTGGTCGTGTCAGGAGCGACCTGAGAAAGTGCAAGTCGTTTCTGGTGTGAGAGAATTGGCCGTCTGCAAGGACGTTGCCCAGGGAACGCCCGGATGATTTGATGTTTTATGATCCTTGTGGGAGGCTTCTCTCATGTCCCCACATGAGGAGCTGGAGCTGATAGAGGGAGCTCATTCGCCTCACCCCGGATTCGAACCTGCGACCTGTTGGTCTTCGGTCCTGCCGGCACAGAGGTTTAACCCACTGCGCCACCGGGGGCTCCCATACATGGATTCAACAGCCCTTTGAAGGCAACCATAAGGCTGAAGTGGCCCTTAATGAAAATGAGTATGACACCCCTCGTCTAAAGTATGGTTGAGTCAGAACAAGCTAGTATTGAATTGTGGTTTGAGATTGTTGCTCTGTTCTGAAACCCTAGTTCTTCCCTTTGCCTGATTTTTGTAATTTCTAAAGGCCTTAATCTCCTTTCTGCTTCTTTTGATTGGGTCTCTTGCCCACCTTTCATGTATCTCTCAAGCTCTCCTTCACTACATTCAGCCTCTCCTCCATCCTCCAGTTTATTTCTGTATTCTTATTTCTGCTTCCTTGGCCCCACCTTCCTCCTTCTACCAAAGCCACACTATCCTGTCACTCCATCACCCTTCTCTGGCTACATTCCTATGGCATTCCCTAATCCTGGTTCACTCAGTGGCCATTTGTTACCACCTGCTGATGTCAACTTTCAGACTATGGTAGTCACAAATCAGCTGCCTAGCCTCCTCACTCTCAAAATAGCAGGCCTGCAGTATGAGTCTTCTCCCTTCCACTTAAAATATCAACCACAGATCATCTGTACTGGGGTGGAGAAAATGTGGTCCCCTAGGTGCTGGACCACATCTCCTAATACATGTTCCCTATTAGCTAGGTCTGATGGGATCTGCAGTTCAGCAGCATCTGGAAGTCTGCACATTCTTTATCCCTGGCCTAATCCAACCTCTCCCTATGTGGTGACACCAAAATGCTTGACTTACCCTATCACCTTGCCATGATGTATGCTGCCTGGGGGAAAAAATCAGAAAATCTAGGCCAAAAGTAATTGAACCTGGCACTCCAATATATCAAGCAGATTCGGAATATCTGTGCAGAAACCTTTTAACTAGACAAAAAGAATTGAACGGGAGAGGGATGCACTGTTTAAAGCATAGAACTATGGGTAATCTTCCACGTCTTTCCAGAAATCAAAATTGAAGCATCAATCTAAAGTTACTCAGATGACAATCTACCAGTTGAGCCACCGAAGGAACCAATAACATGGTTTGATGCATAGATTAGATCTCATGTGTTGCTTCTCCAATTTTAAAATAATTCTTATTTTAAACAAAAATGAAATTTTAATTGGAAATTGGAGGCCAAAGTTTGCTTTTATTTTTTTCTAAGTACTCATTTTTACTATTTTAATTATTTTGAAAAAAATAAATACTGGACTCGCAACAGATATTGCCTGTATGGTGTATCTTGACAGAGAGATAATATTTATCTTTCTTTTAAAATATGGTTCAAATTATATTGCAAAGTTTCATTTTATACCTAGGTGATTAATAAAGGAGCAACCTAATCAAATAGGACAGGTCATATTCTGGGCAACACTCTTTTACTTCCCTTCAGCACCACATTTCCTGGCTTTGTTCTTTATGGCCTTTTCATTATTGTATACATAAAGTTTTCTACATATGTAAATACACAATCAAATGCTGTTTGAGTTGGCTTAAAGTTGACATCAACAACTGATTTTAGGTACTTTTCTTCAATCACTACACAGTATCTCAGAATAGTAGAAATGCTAGACCAAACTATGTGAAGCTTTCAAAATGGTCAAATAGAGTTTCACTTGTTTGTTTCTCTTCACACAGGGAAGTACAGTATGATTGCTATCTCTGTAGAACTGGTATCCATTGTTTTATTTATTCACATCCAACCAATAGATCTCGGTAGGCATTTTCTAGTTCCTCCAGTATGACTCTATGGTATTCTTGAGTCAGAAGTCCTTCTTTGCAGTAGATTTTGCTATTATCCATGGTTTAATGCAGTGGTTCTCATCCTGTGGGTCTCCAGGCATTTTAGTCTAAAACTCCCAGAAATCCTTGCTAGTTTACCAGCTGTTAGGATTTCTGGGAGTTGAAAGTCAAAACATCTGGGCACCCATAGGTTGAGAACCACTGGTTTAATGTATCCATGTGATACCCAGGAGCATGTCAAAAAACAACCCTACTGGAGGTGAGAACCTAAAGAGCCACTGTTTTTGAGGAATCAATAGCTACTAGTCAAGATATATTTCCCTTACTATCACAAGCAGGAACTATAAGCTCCAAAATTCAAAATATTCCAAAATCTAAAATTGTCAAATACGTAGATGGTTGAGATAGTGACACCTTTTTTCTGATAGTGAATGTAAACAAACTGTTTCATGCACAAAATTACTTTTTAAATGGTATCAAATTATCTTCTGGCTATATGTATAAGGTATCTCAAAAATATCTCATTGTGCACATAGGTAAAGGTAGTCCCCTGACATTAGGTCCAGTCATGTCTGACTCTGGGGTGTGGATGCTCATCTCCATTTCTAAGCCAAAGAGCCGGCGTCCGTAGACACCTCCAAGGTCATGTGGCCGGCATGACTGCATGGAGCACCGTTACCTTCCCGCCGGAGCGGTACTTATTGATCTACTCACATTTGCATGTTTTCGAACTGCTAGGTTGGCAGAAGCTAGGGCTGACGGCGGAAGCTCACACCGCTCCCCGGAATTGAACCTGCGACCTTTTGATCAACAAGCTCAGCAGCTCCGTGCTTTAACCCACTGCGCCACCGGGGGCTCCTCATTGTGCACATACATATATGAAAATATTGGTATTCTGAAATTCATAAAAATCTGAAACACTTCTGATTCCAAGCATTTCAGATCTGGGATACTCAATCTGTATTGCATTTAATCCTGGTTGTGGGTGTCTCACGGACATCTGGTTGGGGGAAGAATGCTGGATGAGACAAGGCCTTGATTTGAACCAATACATCATTTCTTACGCTCTTAAGAAAGTGTGTTACTAAAAGTACACCGAACATTTCCATTTAAGAAATGCAGCATCTGGCATCACCTCTCTTTTATTTACACCTCTGCATAAAACGACTTCGGTACAAAAGGGCAAGGGCAGTTAGAAACAGTCCATCTTTCTATAAATACACACATGGAATGGATACCATGTGTGTGTCCAGAGGGTTTGCTGCACTTGCCTTCATCACTCAACTCAAGACACGCTGGAGATATCCCAAGAGGAAAAGAAAAGAAGTTCAACTGGTGGTCCTTTGAATTTCCTGCAGATACACACAAAACCAACCACCAATTCTTTTTGGCACAATCGTACTCCATAATTAGCTATCCTACTTGACTACGAAGCCAAGTCAAAAATAAACAGACAGGAAAGTTTGCTGCACATCATAGCTTCAGGCTAGTTTCCCATGAAAATGGCATACTCTTGAAAATATGGACACGAACAAAGATAGGTTAGGAGTAGGAAAACCTTCTCTGGCAAGATACAAGTTCATGGGTATTCCCATACCAAAATAGGAGGAGTCTTTAGGTTGACAATATTATTGTTTATAATTATTATATTATCAAACATTTGCACAGTTGTGTGCTTGTACAGCTGCAAGGCACCATCCATGAAGGAGTTGTGCTACAGACCATGAACAGGATAAGACCACAGAACTCAGGTTCATGGGAAACTCATTTCAGAGCCAGATACTATACCACAGAAAATGTGAACTCCCTCCCCACAATGTAAAAATGATTGGGTTGGATGTCTTTTAAAGTATTCTGCATTGGCCAAACCACACAATAAGAAACCTGTGCCTAACCCATGGGGGGGGGGGGGGGTGGAATTATGCAGCCTTCTAGATACAGTTCTACTAACATCAGATCTCCCCAGTATAATAATTGGGGGGGGGGAGTTCTGTTGACCCATTACATCTGGAAGGTTATATGAATCACAGTGGTTCTCAACCACAGATCCTCCAGCTGCTTTGACTGCATTTCCCATAAACACATGCCAGCATGAATTAAAGCACCAGGTTCAAG